TATATATATATATATATATATAGCTCTTCTTAAATATTACCAGATTGCACTGCAGAAAAACAGAACCAATTTAGAATTCCAGCTGTGAAAGAATACTGTACTGGACAGCCTATTAGGAATAATATCCTCTCCTGCCAGGTGGGGTTCAATTTCATACCAAGAAATAATCAGCACTTCATCTAGCTGCCCTGGGGCATAGAAAGGCTTCATGTAGTCTTCCAATCCTTTTCAGGTGTAGGAATTGGCGTGGTCCATGCTGGGTATGAGAGACGCCTAGCCCATCACCTGGGAGCACACAGTACACCATCTATCCTAGGAATTATAAATGGGAAAGTCTCCTTCTTCCATAACGCAGTTGTCCGTGAGAACCTACGGCAATTTGTAGAAAGTCTTCTTCCAGGGAACTTGGTGGAGAAAGTAAGTACCTATTGAGGAGAACATGGCTGAGAAGTAGTTTATGAGATGCTGGAATTGCTCATTGCCCTGAACTCTACCTATGGTCATCTCAGACCCGAGTTTCATTTTAAGCAGGTATTTGAGTATGTTATTAGTTAATTACTCAAACTAAGTTATTTAAATGAAATCTGTAAAAGACTGAATGAACATTGAACAGACTAAGTACGGAGACTGAAAGAATTCATTCCTGTTGATAGCCACTTTGAAGGTTTTATACTATCATAGATTTTTATACTATCATATCATATCATATATCATCCACTGTACCTAAAATTACACTGACTATTTCTAAGCAAAAAATCACATTAGATCACATTATCGATAGGATGAAGGGATTCTTTCTGACTTGTGACTTTGTTCATGTGAAGATATTTGTCTTATCGCAGTATTCAAATTAAATTATATTTGATTGTATATTTAATTATTAAATCTGTAGAAAACAACAGATTCCATTAAATTAAATAATGTTTTTGGAAATTTTTAATAGACTTTTTTTTTTCAGAGCAATTTTAAGTTTACAAAAAAATAGTATGGAAAGTAGAGAATTCCCTTATACCTTCTCTCTTCATTGCCCATAGTTTCTTCTATTAACATCTTGCATTAATCAGACATGTTTGTTAGAATTGATGACTGATATTGATACATTATTATTAGCTAAAGTCCATAATTTACATTAGGGTTCACTCTTTGTGTTATATAGTCCTGTGGGTTTTGAAATGCATATTTGGTTATATATTTAATGATCATATCTACAGAAAATGCCAGGTTCCAATAAATCAAATACCCTTTTAGGAAAATGTAAAACTTACAGTGAGGGCAACAGTATGAATGTGTTTCAGAAGGTTGAGCTGAAAAAACCAGACACAAAGAATTCATACTAGTTTATAATTTTTATAGTTAAAAAGCATTTTTTTTTTTTTTTGGTCGTATTTTAGGTTATAAGGAGCTCTGGTGGCATAGTGGCTAAGGCATTTAATTGCTAACCAGAAGGCTGGTGGTTCAAACCCACCAGCCACTCCTCAGAAGGAAGGTTGGTCAATCTGCTTCCATAGTGATAATGCCTCAGAAACCCAGGGAGGGGTCGCTATGAGTCGGGTCCGACTTGATGGCAAATAACAACAACAACAATTTTAGGTTACGAGTCAGAGGAACTGGGAAATCACTCATTTTACTTTAAATAATTTGTTTTGTAACAGTACCAAGAAAAATTGAACATATAGAAAATTTCTATCCTATTTCAACATGTACTATTCATATACTCTGTCCTGCTGGATAAGTATACACAAGGAAATATTTGTTAGAATAGGCTTGAAAGAAAATTAATAAGATCATTGTAGTTTCCTAAAATGATGATAGGTTGGCTTCCCTATAGTGAAACACCTGTTCTGTGCCAAGCACTGTGGTAAGTGTTGAGGACTTTTCAAGGAGCTCCCAGTCTAGTAGGTGATCTTCCCATCTAGTGTGTCAAGAGCCCATTCTAGAGAATTGGGAAAGGCTTCTTGGCAAAAGTGACCACTGGCTGAAATTTGCTAGGTGAGGAAAGAGAAGTAGTTAGTGACTGAATTCCACACAGACAGAGGTCTGGAGACATGAACAGCCTGCTTTGTAAAAAGTAATCATTGCTGGGCAGATGATGAGGCTGGAGGGGTCAATGGACAGCTTGCTGTGAGGACCTCAGAGGGCTCAATGCCCCTTTAAGGAGCTTGGGCCTGCAGGTGATAGAGAGCCATTTAAGGGGTTAAGCAGAGAAGTGAAGGGATCAGATTTGGATTTTATATAGATAATTCTGGAAACTGTGGCAAGGTGAATTTAAAAAAAAAAAAAAGAAATCCTCTGAAAAATGTCTAAGGAGCCCTGGTGGCACTGAGGTCAAAGTGCTTGGCTGCTAACTGAAGGGTCAAGTGGTTTGACCCACTAGCTGCTCCTCGGGATAAAGATATGGCGGTTTGCTTCTGTAAAGATTACAGCCTTGAAAGCCGTATGGGGCAATTCTGCTCTGTCCTATAGGGTTGCTATGATTCAGAATTGACTTGACAGCAGTGGGAGTTTTTTTAATGAAAAATTTCTAGATAGAAATTTAATTCATTCATGTTTTTAACTTTTTTCTATCAAGATTATTTTAGGGCATAAACACGGAAGCATGAAAGTATCCATTTACATAGCAATATATGAAATTAAGTAATATATAGATAAGGCTCAATTATAACAAGGATTACGAGGATGGCGCACAACTGGGCAGTGTTTCGTTCTGTTGTACATAGGGTCGCTATGAGTCGGAGTCGACTCGACGGCACCTAACAACAACAACAACAGCAACATAGATAAGGTAGGACCGCCTTATTTTTATTTAAACCATTTAAAAAGGGGAAGTATTGTAGTATCTTCTGCAGCTTCATAGATTAAGAGGTAGAATCTATAATTATGCAAGAGCCAATTTTGGAAGTTTAGTTTTATTTGTTTTTGTTTTTGAAATATGGCCAGTAAATGTTTCAGAAAGGATTATGATTATAGTCTTTTAAGAACTGGAACAAATGAAAATAATGAAATCAGTGTCTGTTCTTTTAAATAGCTTTAGTCAAATAAAACAAAAAGATTAGGTGTCTTCATCTTTTATATTTTGCAAAGCAGTCTTTTACATATATTTGATTTTATTATCTCCAGACTGGATTATAATACAGCTGTTAAGAAGTAAGCATTGAAACTAACATTCTGTTTTCAACTTAAGGTTACAAATAAAAATTATGTCAGATTCCTCTCTGGTTGGCAGCAAGAGAATAAACCTCATGTCCTTCTGTTTGACCAAATGCCAGTTGTGCCGCTACTATACAAGGTACTTCATGTGCTGGGGTAATGTTTTTATTTCTTTGGTGAAAAGAGTAATGTCTGGGTTGAAACTTTAGCCCGATTGTCCTTTTTACAAGTCCCACATGACTTTTTAACATGTCCCACGAGAGATTCTTGAAGACCAGAAATTTGCTTTAACCACCATACATTGAGTAGCTCTTGATGTTAGTTATTGTACTAGTACCTTCCACATACATAATACCATTTAGTCCCCAAAAGAACCCAATGATATATCCCTGTTTTATAGACCAAGGCACTTAGAGTGATCTTATAACTTACCCAAGGTCTCATGACAGTGTGGTGAAGGTGCAATCCCATTGGAGCCTGTCTGACTCCAAAATCTGCCTTCTTACTGGTTCCATGTGTTACCATTAGCATGGTGGCTATCATCTTACATGATCGGGGTATGGTGATTCCATACACACTCCATGCTTCCATTGAAGTAAGATGATTCTGCTGCTTTATCTGTGAAAAGACAAAGAAGAATTAGTTATGTTTACCTTTCTTTGTACAATTTTCATGCATGGAACCCCACAGAATTCCTAGGCTGCAGGTGTAGAAGACCAGTGTTATGAAAAAGTCACACTTGATTTGTGATTTAAACACTGTGCTGTCGGTTTCATTTTCTACCTCTGTATTATGCCCTAACAGTTGACTGCTTTTGCATACAAAGATTATTTGTCCTTTGGCTATGTGTATGTGGGTTTGAGAGGGGCTGAAGAGCTGACAAGGCAGTACAACATCAATGTCCACGCCCCCACCCTCCTGATCTTTAAAGAACACATCAACAAACCTGCTGATGTTATCCAGGTATGTGAGAGTCACCGTCTTCAAGATTTCCTTCACATTTCCATTTTGAGCCTTTACCTAATAAAACAGCAAAACTGAACAAAACAGGGGGGGGAAGGAGAAATTAGTTATTAATTTCTTCCTTTAGATATATAAAATTTTTAAATGAGGTTATTTTTGACTTGGTACTGACTTGGTACTGTTTTTCTTAAGAAGTAAATGTAAAACAATAATAAAAAGAAAGAAAAAACCTTAAACTAATTCAAAGAATGAAGATATAGGTGAATGTTTACCTGATGTTAGGGTGCAGAAGGATTAAGAAAAATCTTACTAGAAAATCTTAATAATTTTACTATAACTTTTAAATGTATGTGTAAATATTTTAAAACTTAAAGTTAACAAACAGGAAATATAAAATAGATTGATATTTTTAATTCCTGAAGAGCTTGTAATCAAGAAGATCAACACAAAAGCTTCTTGAGAAAAATAGGCTAGGGATATGAATAAAATTCTAAGAACAGGTTCAGATGACTGGTGAGCATTTTTTAAAATGAAATTTCACTGATACGAGAAATGAAATTTAACATTTTTTTCACCCATCAAATTGACAAAGATTTGCAAAGTAGAAATAATATCTAGAGTGTCATGAAACAGGTGCTCTTTTACCCTGCTGGTGGAAGTAAGCTTTCAGAAAAACGATTTGGTGATAATGTATCAAGTGCCTACATTCATTCATTGAGACAGTCCCCCTAAGTACTTGGTATGTGCCAAGCAGTGAACAAAATTGACAGAATTCCCTGTCCCCTCAGTCTAGTGGAGAAGACAGATGGCATACCAGACTCTCCCGTGGTAATGTGAATACAGTGGTAGGTGCTAAGAAGAAAAACAAAGTAGGAAAGAGCAATGTGGAGTATTGGTGGGAAGGGTGGCAATTTTAAGATAGAATTGCCAAGAAGAGCCTCTTTAAGATGACACTTAAGCAGAGATCTGAGGGAGGCGGTTATGTTTTTAATCTATCCTAAGGGAATAGGAACTCAGATATACATTCAAAGATGTTATTCATAGTAGCCAAAATTGGGAAATAAGTGGAATTATGCAGCAGTAGAATAAATATTGGTATAGCCCAAACATAATATTATATAAACCCACTGCCATTGGCTCAATTCCAGTTCATAATGATCCCCATCAGGGTTCCAAGGCTGTAAATCTTTCCAGAAGTAGATTTTTTAATATCATCTTTTAAAATATCAGCAAGGATAATTGGACTCTCCATCTCTTACAGGAGACTAGAATGAGAAGTTCTATATTTTATTCATTCAACAAGTATTTTGTTGCCTGCCTACTATGTAGCAAATACAGAGAGGGCTCTGACATCCAGAGTTACAAGACCCACAGCCTTGGCACACAAACAAAAGGGTACTAATATGTATCATGAACTAAGTCAATGGGGCTTTCTCCATAGTCTTGCAATAAAGAACATTTATGTTTACATTTGATCATTGTATTTATTAGACATTTGCAAATTAAGACAGATAAAACTCTTTGGGTTTCCATGAACTGAAGCAGCTGAGGTGAGGAAACCAGCTAGCAGATTCCCATCCACTGCGCTGGGTGCCTCACTTAGAGGCAGGGTGAGCCCAGAGCACCATGGGAACATAAATGAAGTGTTCCTAAGATTACGGAAATCAAGAAGGATGTTGTATGCGGCAGAACCAGAGACATGGAAAGTGAATCATAACGAAAGAAGAACAGGCTTAAGAAGAAAGTAGTAAGTTGGACATAATGAATTAGAGGTACTTAACTGTGGTTAAGGCATTGGGTTGCTAACCCAAAGGTATTGGCAATTCAAACCCACCAGCTGCTGCTCTAGAGGAAGATGAGGCAATCTACTTCCATAAGAATTTACAGCCTTGAAAACTCTATGGGGGTCGCTATGAGTCTGAATCGACTCAGTGGCAGTGAGTTTATAGGAAATCTTAAGGAGCTTTGGTGATGCAGTGGTTAAAGCATTAGGCTGCTAACCAAATTGTTGGTAGTTCAAATCTACCAGCTGCTTCTCAGGAGAAAGATGGGATGGTCTGCTTCTGTAAGATTTACAGCCTTAGAAACCCTATGGGGCAATTCTACTTTGTTCCATAAGGTTCCTGTGAGTTGGAACCAACTCAGTGGCAGTAAGAGGTATAAGAAATCTTAGGAGTCCTGGTGGCTTAGTGATTAAACACTTGGCTTCTAACCAAAAGGTTAGCCATTGGAACCCACCAGCCATTCTGTGGGAGAAAGAGGTAGCAGTCTGCTTCCATAAAAGATTTTCAACCTTGGAAACGCTACAGGGCAGTTCTGTTCCCTCCTATAGGAGGGTTGCTGTGAGTTGGAATCTACTCAGTGGCAGTGGGTATAGAAGACCTATAGGGAAATGTCCATCAGGCAATTGGGTATAGGACTCTAGATCTTAGGAAAGACATACAGGCTGAGGCTGGAGATTTGTGGGTTGTAAGTGAATGGTTAAGTGTTTAAAGTTAGGGGTGAGTTAGGCGAGTTAGGGGTGAGATCTCCCAGCATAATATGTAAAGTATGGAGAGAGGGGGGCCAAGGGCAAAGCTCTGGACAGCTACCAGCAAATAAAAAGAGGGGATGCATCATGGAGACCGAGAAAAAATCAAAAAGAGAATCAGGAAGAAAACAAGTAGCCGTGACAATAGATATCAGAGAAGATCATCTTAAGTCTGTGGTCAACTATGAAGACTTCTGAAATTGCTTTTTTTTTTTTTTTTATTTTAGCATAAGATTGTAGTAAAAATGCTAAGTATCAAAACTTCCTACTACACATCACCTCTTGGGCGACACAGGCAAGGTCTTAGAATTCTAACAGGAGCTATCATCAAGTTGGTTTTGACTCACAGAGACCCCTTGTGTATCAGGATGGAACTGCACTCCATAGGGTTTTCCAATGGTTGATTTTCTAAATTGCTTTTTAGTAATAGCTTATCCTCCTGAGCATTGCATTTATTTATCCCCTAGGGACAATTGCAAATCAAATACATTTACAGAATTACTGGCACGAATAGATGCTTTGTTAGCCTTCTCTTTATAGATTGAAAAATGTCCACTTAACGTAAACCAAGTTCTCCCAATGGCAAATGGCTTAGTGTAACTCTAGTAACACCAGTTGTTGGTTCCTGTAGCTCTGGTTAATTTGCTTTCATTGCTATATAGTATTTATGACCACACTATAATTTATTTATTCATTTTCCTGTTGACGGACAGTTTGGGGCTTTTAGGAGCAGCGTTGCCATAATCATATGTATCCTAGTATACCCAAGCATGAGTTTCTCTAAGGGCAGCAAAGAATTTTCAAAATCTGGTTCACAGATCCCTGAGGGACTCCCAAAGACCTTTCCTTGTCTTCTTCATCCCTAAGCACTCACAGTAAAAGCAAACAGAAACAAAACAACACTAATTTCGCTTTAAAATATCCTTGCTGAAGCATTAAAAATTACTAGTGTAAATTTTGACCCTCGTGTGCATGTCTTGTTAATAGTTTCAGTGTTGTGTGAAGAAATGGGAGTATGGGTGAAGCACTTCTGCATAGCACAGAACAAAGGTGGGCACAGTACAAAGATGGTCTCGAGGACAGATGTGTGATTATTTAAAATGGAATTAAAAAAAAAATTATTGTGATATGGGTGAAAGTTTACAGAGCAAATTCATTTTCCATACAACAGTTCGTACACATTTTGTCTTATGACATTGACTGTAATTTCCCACAGTGCAACAGCTCCCCTCCCACTTCCTCCCCATAGTTGCCTCTTCCCTATATCCTTCCCTCCCATGCACTCCTGTCCCCCAAGTTGTCTCCCTGTGCATACATAGCCCTTCTATTCACCCATGATTGATCTCTCTAAGGAGTGTATCTACCTAATATAAATGTTCAGCTTATATGCCTGTCATTTGTTTGGCTGGAAGCCCCAGGAGTGGGTTCAGTTCCAGACCTGAAGCGCAGCTAGGGGCTATAGTCTCAGGCGTTTCAGCAGGCTCTGTCAGACCAGGAAACTTTTTTTTTTTTTTTTTTTTAAATGATTTTGAGTTTTGTTCCACATTGTTCTCCCACTCTGTCCAGGATCTCCTACACAAAGCCCCCTTGAAGTGGAATATTTTTACTTGAAAGAATACCTGACAGACACACTGTGATTATTCAGACTTGGGAATTTGGCAGACATTTTCTCAAAAATAAATAGACTAAGCTTAGCACTTTAAGGAAAACCACTGATGGTATTTGTTGTCAGTGATAAAATTGAGGCTTCCAAGAAAATTAGAATTTTTGAAAATTCCCATCAGCCATCATGAGCTTGATAGCGTCACGAAACTTTGTGATGAGCAGTGTGATGTGATTTAAAAAAAAAAAAAAGTAAAATGAGGTGTGTTGACCTATGGAAGATCAGTGGACCAGTATTTTCCAAAAGAGCAATGTGTGTGATGTTACAGATTCACACATGAGTTAAAGATCTGTTCGGAGCACAAAATGATCAATGGATTTTAATGTAACAAAGTATGAAAAGTTCATTGATATGTTTCATACTCCACCTAGCAACCAACCTGTAAGAAACTACCACTTGTCAAGTTTTGGTGTAGTATAGTAACCCATAGTTATCTGAAAAACTGTTAAAATACTATATGTCAATAGATAAAACCCATATAAAGAAAAGTTCTGTGGGATCTTCAGTAATTTTAAGAGTGTAAGTTGTTCTCAGACCAAAAAGTGAGAACTACTGTTCCAGGGTATGATTAGTTGTAAGATTCCTGGATCCTAGAATATGCACTTCTCCAGCTTTGCTAGATAATGTGTTTTCCAAAGTGATGGTACCAATTTACATTTCTGCCCAGTTCTACACTGAGGGAATAAATAATGATAGCTCATTGTGATTCTGCTTTGTATTTCCTTCAGTTGCTTGGAGGCTGAGCTTTTTTCATTTGTGTATGAACCTTTTCAGTTTCTTTTATGAAGTGCCAGTCTTTTACCTTTT